CCTAATTATTCTCAATTTTTTGTTTATTATGGAGGAACATTTCATTTGATCTGTTTTCAGTTTTGGTTTTTGTGTTTTATTTTTTGTAAAAATTTTTGTCTCTTTTTTTTTTTTTTTTGGTTTCTTTGAGGAAATTTTGGCCTTTTGGGCTTAAAACTAATAGCTGACAAAGAAAGAGTTAGGGTTGATCATAAATCTACAATCTAAAGGTATAAAAATACTGTAGTTCAAAATATAGAGTAGATTTTTCTGCTACCCTTAAAATATATGTTAAAAACTCTTTATAAATTGGTAAGGCAAGTGTGGGCATTGAAAGATATATTTTGGTCAAAATACACCGTTGATTGAGAAAAAAAAAGTATAGATCGAACATAAATTTACAATTTAAAAATAAAATGCAACAATCTAAACTACAATATATATAATTTTTCGATAATCTTAAAATACAAACGTTCTGGGTTCGTATTTAGATTCTTAATACGTTTATTAATCGTATCGTGATTTGTATTTACTATAATAGTATCGTGTCATAATTGTACAAATCTAAATACGACACGTAAATATGAATTACCAACCATACTAAAAGAACTCATTTTTCTCTCACATCCACACTGACTCGAGAGATAGTCAAGGTGACAAACATACATCATTAAAAGTCCTCACAAAGTGATGGACAGGCCCATCTAGAATCACATTAACAAGATAATGAGATATTATAGAAGATGTTTCAATCAAATATCATATTGAAGGTTGGTAGTTTACACCCCATTACACTACAAATACACAATAAAAAAGAATAACATTAAGCGTTTGTCTTAGCAGATAAAGATTAAATTCTAGACCAACCGATCAAGATACTCGTCAATTGTGGTGTATTTCACCTCTGGAGAAAGCTCAGTAGCTTCCACACATGAAGTTTCAATCAAATATCATATGTGTTGCGTGGCAGATGGATAATATCATGTTTAAAGGATAGGGAGACTGTGCATAAAACCCAAACCAAAAATGGAAAATATATATCTATATACACATTTATACGCAATATTTTTAAACCTGCTCATTTCAAGCGAAAGTTGTACGGCTCGTGTGGTCTCTAATTGATAAAGGGTAAGTATTAGTTTTAAACTTTTCATTACGTACATCTTCTTTGTCTTTTAATAACAAGAGTATCCTAGTAACCTTAGAGTTTACTTGTGAAATTGTTCTTGCTTACCCTGTATGTTCTTGAGCAGTTGATCTTCTGGAATATAAATCTTCTCAAGGGTCATGCCAATTTTCTTCTCCCACAAGGAGAAAATCTCATTGAAGGACAAGATATTAGTAGGGGGTCTCAATTTAAGAATCTTGTTCAAGATTCTCGGGTCTTCCACTGCTTTTATAGTACAAGGCTTCTTTTGTTTTGCAGACTCGAGTTTTCAATTCGAGTTTAAATGTGATATTTTCTTAGAGCTTTTAACTGTATCATAAAAATTCAGATGTGATATTTTCTGAGAGATTTTAACTGTAAAAACTTAAAACTGAAGACTCAAATTAGTGAAATGAACGAGACTTAAGTTGCAATGTTCTCTTCCTCCACAAACACACCTGAAAAATAGATAATCATATTAACTTTCTTAAGTTTTAGGGTAATTCCTATAAATTGCTTAAGTTTCTCTTACAAGGATACCTTTGCAATTTCCATCTCCTAAGATTTTTACTTTCTCTTTGGGAGGAACTTTTGCGTTAGAGTCTCCCACACTAGGCAGCATATAGCCTGCAAAGCCATAGGACACCACAAAGGTGTATGAAATTCCTTCAGCCTCTATGGCTCTCCTGATGTTAGATTTGTTCCGGAAAAACGTTCCGGCTGGCTCGACGGGATGGATGTGATCGACATCTGTTCCGAACTCAGATGGCAGAAATCTCTGACATTTCATTGTTAAATTAATAGATGCCATTTTCTCAATTCAGTTCAACCATTAGACAAAAGCTGAAAGAATAGAAGTGAAAGGAGGCAAACTATTTAGTATTGTTTGGTACTTCAGCCTATTGTTGGTATGATAAAGAAATATTAAATTAGATCACCTACTCTTTCTAAATGAGAAGGGATCAAAATTGGACTCTTATGGAAGATAAATACCTCAATCAATACATTCCCTTAATACCAAAAAACCAAAAATCCTAAAATACACTCACTGATCCTCCACCCTTGTGTCTCCTTCCACTTTTCCCTCCTAAAAAAGAGTAGAATTTTCTCCTTTTTTGTCTTATTCATCAGACACTTTTGTATCCACATTCTGATGTATTATTTCAAAGCTTATATACCTTGATATTTCCAGCTTCTTTGATGGCAGCAATGATCTTGGTCTGATCAGCAATCTGCTCCATCCCTACACTGGAAATCACTACATCAACTTTCTTGATTGCCTCCACCAAACTATTGTGATCATAGATATCTCCCTACAAAAACAAAGAAAAAACAAAAAACAAACATTTAACAATATTATTCATAGGATTTAAGTTAAAATATAAAGTGTCAGAAAAAATAAAAATAAAAATTATGTCGTTTTCTTTTGAGACCTTGATAAATACTTACTTAGGTTTCGTTCATTTCACCGATTCGATTGAGTTTTCAGTTTTAAATTTTTACAGTAAAAAGTTTTAAAAAAATGTCACATCAATTTTTTTTTACTACAGTAAAAAATTCTAAAAAACTGTCACATTTCAACTCGAATTAAAAATTTAAATCCGTAAAATAAACGAACCGTTAGAGTATTTTGACCCCTGAACTTTTGAAGCTCTCAACTAGTTTTGACTACTCAGGATTAGAAGCAGTCGTCTCTCTGACAAGTGCAAAAGTTGGATGCCCCGCTTTAGAACTTTCCTTCACTATGAAATTTCCAATGTAACGGGTTCCTCCTATTACCAAAATCTTTTCTTAGCCAATGGAAAAATTTTTTTTTTCCTCCCAGAAAAGTTCAGTACTAGTCTTTAGATAACATTACGTGGAAATGTGGGGAAAAAAATGTACAAAACCACTGTTCTTGTCAGTTTTGTTGACTCAATTATTTATATATTTTTAGATGGTCAGGATATTAGACAAATAAATTGTATGGTCAGGATTCCTTTATTTGTCATTTGTCACTTTCTTTATCAAAAAAAATATATATATATATTTATACACGCGCGCGCGCGCGCGCGCGCACACACACACACACACTATATATATATATATATATATATATATATATATATCTCACAGGTCATATATATATATATATATATATATATCTCAAAGGTCTTGTTGGTTTGTTGATTTTTTGTTGCTTTTCCTGTCGTTTATCTGAGGTAGTCATGTAATCACCTTTGACGTTGGTGTCTCATGGCTGTCGTACTCATGTCGTTTCCATATTTTTGTCGTTTATTTAGATTCTGCTTTTTCCTAATTATGTCGTTTCCAGGTCATTGTCGTTTTTTTCTGTTGGTGAACCGGTGGTTGCTCCGCTGCTGTTGCCTGCTGTTGTCTTTCAGGTTGATATCATTAGTTAGTCTATTGTGGTTTTTCACATTGATGCGTTTCCTTTTTCTCGTACTTGAGATTTTTTCTGTTTTCCTCATGATTCTTTAATTGCCGTTTGTTCATGTATTTTGTCGTTTTCTTTATGATGCCGTTTCTGTGGTTTGTTTTTTGTCGAGAACATTGTCGTTTTCTCCTACAGGGTGGGTCCTGGTATTGTTATATATTTTCTTTACGTCGTTTATCATGCTTTAGTCATGTTTTAAATAATTGTCGTTTTGGAGTTGGTTGTCGTTTATACAGTCAAATAGCGGATCATTTTCTAGTTGTTCTTTTGAATTTGATCCATTTGTTATCCTTCAACAACCATTCAGGTCTAACAAATAGTGAATTTCAGAGATGCACCGAGTTGATGTATTTGGCTCAAGTTTAGATGTGGGCCCGTTCATTTCGCTGATTCGAGTTTGTAATTTGAGTTGATATGTGATTTTGTGTGAGAGCTTTTTACTGTAGCAAAAAAGTTAGATGTGACTGTTTCTGAGAACTTTTTACTGTAGCAAAACTCAAATTCTAAACTCGAATCGGCGAAATGAACGGGCTTTCCCGTTTACGATTTTCCAGAAAATATGGCTGATGGGAAACAAATTCTTGCTTAAAAAGTAGCAGCAATTCTTCAAGTAAGGATGTAGTTCTTTTCTTTAAAAAAAAAAAAATGATAAACGGAGTGATTTGATCCTGAGCTTTTATTCGGAAAACCAATCTTTATTGTCATCACACCGAGTTCATACACAAAACACAAAGAGAAAAGTAATTAAAGTGTCAAAATCAGGTTAATAGAAAAAAAAATTTAAATTTTTTTTTAAAAAAAGAGCAAAAAAACAAAATAGAAATAAGAATTACTAATCCCAACCTTCAGTTTGATACATTCGTCTTTTTTACTCTCCTGAGGGGCAAAAAAAATGTTCAACTTGAAAGTTGTATAAGATATCTGTTGACGGTCAAATTTCGTCAACAGAACGCCGGGTTACCCGTTAGTATCCCGTTGGGTTACCGGTTGCAATTGACTATATACCTAGACTTAGGCTATGAAGTGTTTTGTCAAAACATAAGATGTACGGAAGTAGTGCGGAAAGTAGAAGGACACGCAGAATTTTAGAGTGGTTCACCTTGTTAAATAAGGGCTACATCCACTGTATTTTTTGCATATATCTTTGGATCTTTTATTACATGTGTATGAAGAAAGAAGGAGTAGAAAAAATCCTCTCCTAGCACGAGGCAGTCCAAAGGAAAGCCTCGACCTGGGGGGCAGATGTTGTGCAAGAAAATATGGGCTGCCACGTCAGAGACGGCCGACCCTTCCAAGGAGGAGAGGCATCCAGACAGCCGACCCCTCCAAGGAGGAGAGGCCTCCATGAAGAAGGTTCTTAAACCTGCCAAGAGCCCTAAGGGGCATCCATGAGGCCGACCCCTCCAAGGAGGATAGGCCTCCATGAAGAAGGTTCTTAAACTTGCCAAGAGCCCCAAGGGGCATCTATGAGGCCGACCCCTCCAAGGAGGAGAGGCTTCCATGAAGAAGGTTCTTAAACCCGCCAAGAGCCCTAAGGGGCATCCATGAGGTCGATCCCTCCAAGCAGGAGAGGCCTCCATGAATAAGGTTCTTAAACCTGCCAAGAGCCCCAAGGGGCATCCATGAGGCCGACCCTTGCAAGGAGGAGAGGCATTCAGACGGCCGACCCTTCCAAGGAGGAGAGGCCTCTAGACGGCCCCAAGGGGCATCGTGCCACAGTGGATTTTTGGCTATTTTTCATATGTAATCAGAGAATAGAGAGCTGATTCTATGTAATCCAAAAAGAGCCCAAACGAAATACATTACACAAGTGGATGTAGCTCTTTATTAACAGAGTGAACCACTATAAATTTCGGGTGTCCTCTCATTCGAGCATTATTCTCATGCTTCCAAAAATATAACAAACACTTCATAGCATAATTTCAAATATACAACTAATTTCTAGATGGTAACCCCACGGGATACCAGAGGGTGATCTGATGTATTTCTGTTGACGAAATTTGACCGTCAACATTATCCATACTTGGGTATGCAGTTGAGGGTAATTTTTATATATATATATATATATATAAGGGTGTGTTTTAATAATTATTTCAATATTTACCCATTGTTAACCGCGTGATATTGATTTTATTTTTTGTAAATTTTAGAAGGTAATACAAAACCTAGTATGTAGTAAAAAATAAATAAATAAAGTTTTTACTTACCATGGATTTTCTTGACAAGTTGATCTTCTGGGATATTAAAGTCTTCTCAAGGGTCTTGCCAATCTTTTTCTCCCACAAAGAGACAAAATCATTGAAGGACAACATATTAGCAGGGGGCCTTGTTCATGGTTCTTGGGTCTTCCACTGCTTTTATGGTGTAAGTAGCAATATTTTCTTCCTTCACATGCACACCTGAAAAAAGAGACGGAAAAAAAATCATGTAAATTATTGGTAACCAACACCTATTATAGTTTGTTTACTTTACAAAATATACCTTTGGGATTTCCTGTTAGTTATAAATTCTTTATTGATGAAAACCTTCATCATGTCAAGATCTACTATGTCAAATAATCAAGAATAATAGACTAAATGCGGAAGTGTACCTGAATCCATGTGAACGAATGTGATTCTTGAATCTTGCGGTTCTTGATCTTCCAAATTAGTCCGTATGAATGTCTTGAGAATGAACTCTCACTTTTCTAATGATAGGAAGTTAGAAAAGTTTTTATACGTTTTAATTTGTGGACCACAACCATTTATATAGAAGTTAACTACATGTTAACTTTCATTATTTCTAATTTGGCCCATCATAAAATAAGAAATAATGATTTGGTTTCTACACATATTAGGCCCACACTTATTAGATGCATTAAAGCCCAAAATACTTAAAACCTTATTTGATCACTTTAAATGGGCTTAACTTAATATGATAGTATATAATACACAATTATTATTATATATGTATATATGCACGTCCTAAATCTAACAATCTCCCACTTGGACTACATGTATACATATATATATATATATCACTTTACAACTGTATATCACAATATAACCTTATGAGCTCAACGTTTGCTATCATGATCAAAAGCATCTTCGAACAATCTCGTCTATTAATTATGTTAACACAGGATCAAGGCGATCTTCGTTACATGTATCATAACTAGACCTATCCATGGTCACGTATATCAACATAACCAAATGACATAGATCAAATATGGATGTGTAGCATGGAAATTACATGCAATGTGATCTAAACATGCCTATTTCCAATTGGTCCAACTTTATTCTTTATGAGATCATATTAAAACTAAATCAGAGTGAAAATGAACTGAATACTTTATTTCTGCAAAAAATATCCATAAACATAAGATGTGTTTAAAACGGAAAAGCATATAAATACAGACTCCCACTAATCCAGCATATCATCAAATGATACAACACCCATATGAGCAATATGCTCATGAAAGACCTTGGGTGGTAGCCCTTTAGTAAGTGGATCCGCAACCATGGAGTTTGTGCCAATATGCTCTATAGACACCTGACCACTCTGAACTCTTTCCTTAACAACTAGGAACTTGATGTCTATATGCTTTGACTTCGTCGAGCTCCTGTTGTGATTGGATGCCTCATAACATGCTATAAACTCAGCTGCCATGGTGGAAGAAGCTATGAGTGTTTGCTTTGCACTCTTCCAAGAGATAGCTCCTCCTGCAAGCAAATAGATATAGCCTGAAGTGGATCTACGACTGTCTTGACATCCAACAAAGTCAGAATCTGAATACCAAATGATCTCTAACTTATCTGACCTCCTGTATATGAGCATGTAATGTTTTGTTCTCTGAAGATACTGCATTACCCGTTTGGCTGTTTTCTAATGATCCAGTCCCGGATTGCTCAAATATTCGCCTAACATCCCAACAATGTACGCAATATCCGGACGCTTACAAACTTGAGCATCCATTAGACTTCCCACTGTTGAAGCATAGGGAATCTTTTGCATTTCTTTAGTTTCAAAATCATTTTTGGGGCATTGATCGAGACTGAACTCATCTCTCTTAGCAACAGGGGTGTCTCTTAGTTTGTAATTCTGCATGCCAAATCTCTTAAGTACCTTCTCAATATAGGTCTTTTGTGATAATTTAAGAATACCCTAAGAGCGATCTCCATGTATCTAAATTCCTAAGACAAAAGATGCGTCCCCAAGATCTTTCATCTCAAATTTCTTTGATAGAAATCTCTTAGTAAATGATTGACAAGAGTTATTGATTTTTTTTTCTTCTCCATGTCGTACTCTTTAAAAAAAATATGCACTTTGTCACAAAACTATCCCTATAGGTTATATACTACTGTATTCCTCAATTTAATATATTATGATTCAAAGTTGGTCTTTAATTTTCCTTTTCTTTTTGCCCTTACTAGTTAGTTAGTTCAATACGATGTTCTAGAAGATCAAAAGTAGTTGTTAGACTTGTGAAAGCAATATGAATAAAGAAAGGAAATAGAGGTTTTGAAGATAATCATCCTTTGAAGATTATATTATTAATCCATTATGTGCCCAACTACTGCCTTCCAGAATAATAAAAATAATATTGTCCCTAACAACTAGAAACCTAATAGAAACCTTTGGGGAGCATTTTAGACTTTGTGCAATTTCCTTTTGTCAAGTCAAGAATATTGAAATTTTTGGAACATGAACATAGACGAGAGGGATTTCCACGTTCCTAATATCTAATTGAACAAGAATATATTAATGACAATTCCATGACCAGGTGTAAAAAAATATACTACCAGTAGAGTTTTGTTTAGAAATGTCAGATTTGCATCATAACTTGCAAACTTGCATCATAACCTGTCAGTTTGCAAACTTATTTTATTTTGATGCGATTTAGATTAGATCCAACATTAAAAAACACAAACTGTTGATGGGATATCATTACCATAGAATGATCCATTAGTCCTACAAACTTATTTGATGAACATAGAGTGCACATTAAATAAGGATGCAAATACCAAAAAAAAGTTAGAGGCCACGTCATAATATATATATATATATATGTGTGTGTGTGTGTGTGTGTATTGACCTTCTGATACTAGGGAGGTGACAACTAAGGGCTACCTGATCTTGACCAAGGAATTACTCTATAGAGTACTAAAATGCTATTTAAGAATACTTGTCTATCTCCCTTCAAACCCATTACTTCATCCCCAACTAAAAATCTCTGGGTTTTTATTTTATTTTATTTTTTAAAAATAAAAAATAAATAAATCATAAAAAATAGAATATTTATAAAAAAAAATCGTATCATTTATTGCATTAATTTTTTTAAAATTATGTATTAATTTTAGAATGCAAAACATAAATAAAAACATGATTTTTTTACTCCTCATGGCCTCTGGGTGCCCCACTGCGCGCGTTGGGGACTTTTTGACATCGTTTTTCTTTTTTCATTTTTTGAGGCCATTTTTTGCAAGCATGCTCAGAAAAATGTCCGTGCCTGTAAAATTTAGAATTTTTTGACCTCGTTTTTATTTTATTTTATTTTTTAAAGATGCAAAATAGAGAAAATCATAAAAAAATAGTATATTCATAAAAAAATGGTACCGCTTATTGCATTAATTCTTAAAAATTATGTATTAATTTCTGAATGCAAAACATAAACAAAAAGGTGAATTTTTGACCCCTCCAGGCCTCTGGGCGCCCCACTGCGTGACGGGGGCTTTTTGACATCATTTTTCTTTTTTCTTTTTTTGATACCATTTTTAGCAAGCATGCTCTAAAAAATGTAATGATTGTGTTTGCAAAATTTCAGAATTTTTTGACATCGTTCTGATTTTATTTTATTTTTCAAAGACAAAAAATAAATAAAAATCATAAAAAATAGAATATTCATAAAAACAAAATGGTGTCGCTTATTGCATTAATTCTTAAAAATCATGTATTAATTTTTGAAGGCAAAACATAAAGAAAAATATGAATTTTTAACCCCACCCGGCCTCTGGGCGCCCCACTGCGCGCGTTGGGGGCTTTTTGACATTGTTTTTCTTTTACCATTTTTTGAGGTCATTTTTGCAAGCATGCTCAGAAAAATATAATGATCGTGTCTGCAAAATTTTAGAATTTTTTGTTATCATTTTTATTTTATTTTATTTTTCAAAGACAAAAAATAGAAAAAAAAAATCATAAAACATAGAATATTCATAAAAAAATAGTGTCGCTTGTTACATTAATTCTTAAAAATCATGTATTAATTTTAGAATATAAAACATAAAAAAAGTGAATTTTTGACCCTTCCCCGGCATCTGAGCGCACCACTGTGCGCGCCGGGGGCTTTTTGACATCATTTTTCATTTTTCATTTTTTGAGGCCATTTTTTGCAGGCATGCTGAGAAAAATGTAAGGATCGTGTCTGCAAAATTTCAAAATTTTTTGAAATCATTTTTATTTTATTTTATTTTTGAAATACGAAAAATAGAGAAAATCATAAAAAATATAATATTTATCAGAAAAATGGTGCCGCTAGTTGCATTAATTCCTAAAAATCATGTATTTATTTTAGAATGTAAAACATAAATAAAAATGTTAATGTTTGGCTCATCCTGGCTCCTGGGCGCCCCACTTTGCGGGCCATGTGCTTTTTGGCAGTGTTTTCTTTTTTCATGATTCTTAGTAATTAATGCAACAAGTGGCACCATTTTTTTTTTATGAATATTTCATTTTTTATGATTTTCTCTAATTTTCATATTTTAAAAATAAAATAAAATAAAAATGACATAAAAAAATTCTGAAATTTTACAGACACGATCCCTCCCTTTTTTGAGCATACCAGGAAAAAATGGTCACAAATTATGAAAAAAGAAAATGATGCCAAAAAGCACTCCACCCGCGCAATGGGGCGCCCGGAAGCCAGAATGAGCCAAACATTAACATTTTTATTGATGTTTTACATTCTAAAATTAATGCATGATTTTTAGGAATTAATACAACAAGCGGCACCATTTTCTGATGAATATACTATTTTTTTATAATTTTCTCCATTTTTCAGCTTTGAAAATTAAAATAAAATAAAAATGACGTCAAAAAGTTCTAAAATTTTACACACGCGATCTTTACATTTTTCTGAACATGCATGCAAAAAATGGCCTCGAATTATGAAAAAAGAAAATGCTGCCAAGGGGGGCGCCAGAATGAGTCAAACATTAACATTTTTATTTCTATTTTATATTCTAAAATTAATAGATGAGTTTTAGGAATTAATGCAATAAGCGGCGCCATTTTTTGATGAATATTCTATTTTTTATGATTTTCTCTATTTTTCGTA